TTATTAGTATAAATTAAGTAAATAAGATATGAACTAGTGTGTGTGTGTGTGTGTGTGTGTGTGTGTGTGTGTGTGTGTGTGTGTGTGTGTGTGTGTGTCTATATGTAGTGAATAAATTTGCTGCAGACAATTTTTTAATTAGCAAACACTTCAAAAGTTTATTCATAAATAATGGGAATTCTCATTATTAACCCATTCTAATGTAGAATAAAATCATTAGCATAATATTATTCATAATTAAGGCAAATTGCTCGTTAGCATTACATGTATTTTATCATGTTATCTACATTACATAAAAATTACTGCAGAAGTATTTTAATTCGATGAATTTATTTCAACTAAGAAGATGAGTAGTATATCTATACTCGCATAATAAATTTGCAGATTTTTTGCATCGTACCCAAAGAGAATCGTTTTAAAAGTTACATCACACTTAAATTTGGGACTTCCTATAATGGAACTGGATATTACGTGTGGCACATTATTATTCTTTCCGAAGACGAGTGATTGCAATCTTGCATGAGAAGTGCAAAGTGAGCCTATAATTTTGCCGGCTCTTGCCTATGCAAAGATATAATTTTTCTGATAAGCATCAATAGTTGTTTGTAAAATACCTATAATTATTATATCGCCCTCTTATAAAAGTAGTTGTCATCTTTTTTAACTTGCATTTATCAAAATGTTTAAAGAATCAATGATTCTAATTTTTTATTTTTCTGAAAATTATAAAGTAATTTCATCATTGTACTTAACTTGTGTAAACTTATCGGGCACAAAACTATTTCATAATATAAATTACGTCAACCGGATGTTTATCTTAACTGTTTGTCTTTGTTCAACATCAAAAGAAACGTTTTTCGAAAAACTACTTGATCTTTATCAGTCATGAAAATTTCTCTATTGTTTTATCAACATTATTATATAGCAGATATTGCAGCAAAGAAAGCTCTTTATTTTATATAATTTTTTATTGTGCACATTCAAGAAATTTCCAATATTTTGAAATCTTGAAGTTTCCCTGTTCATATTGATCCCATCAACTTTTTTAATCAGCTATATATATAAATTTACGAATAAATTTGGTAAAAATAAATATGTCAAAGTAAAATATGTAGTTTGACTACATTTTACTTTTATATTTGTCATAATCTGTTATATATGATAGCTATCGCTTTTTTTATTAATTTATTTACGGATTATTAAAATATACATCTCGTTTTGAATAAAGTGCGTAATTGAGACAATAAATACGTCAACTTTGTATTTTCATATATGACTTATATTAATGTTTAGTATCATACAATACTTTTTTCTTAAAGATTAACATTTTTATCTAAACAAAATGCATATATTATGTATAACATAATACACAATTTAAAATTTTAGAAAATATAAAGCCAGTCTTCTATTTTAACTTTTTCTCTTATGTATTTGTTAAAATTAACATTCACAATAAAAACATATATAAATTAAATTCACAAAAAGATATTTATTGAAAAATATATTATGTATAAATCAATTTTATTTTATGTATAAATCAATTTAAATTTTACTTGTCTTTTCAGATTTCTAAATAAAAATTTTAAATTTTAAACAACAGTAATAATTATATGTATATTAATATTTAATCAGAATTCTTAATCTATATAAAAATCTATAATTTATTGTGTATTACATTGATATCAATCCTTTATACGCTATATAAATTACAACTATAATATATTCTACAATTAATGTTAGAAGTGTTATTTTATTAAAAATTAACTTTGCATATCATTTAAATTTAGATATAATTAAACGTAATTAATACAAGTTACCTAAGACTTGTTAAGTCAAACAATTACAGTCTGTCTGGAAATTTACTATAAAGTAGTACGGCAATAATTTAAAGCTTAATGTAGTCTAAATACTAAAAAATTGCAAATTTATGATAATTTACTTAATTTCAACAAAATATCTTATGTAAAAAATTGCACAATTTCAGACAGATTAAATATTGCTCCCTAAATTATAGTTCTGTTTTCTTCTTAAAAATACTTCTGCAAATAATTCTATTTTTAAAGGTATTATATATTTTTTAAATATTTAAGACTTTATTCTAACTTCATCCTAAAAGTTGTTCCGAAACGAAGTCAGTTTTTCAATGATAATATTGATCACTTTAAGTGTTATTCTTCGTATGATTGCGGGCGTCGTTTTTTCCTAACAAAAAATTATATAAGAAATATATTAATGCTTAAATTTGTTTACATATTTATATATTTATTTCTTATAACAAGTGTTTAAGTAAAAATAGCTTTTTCTGCAAATTATTTAATTAATTTAACGTTTCTAGAGAATATTTTCAATATAATTTAAAAGAATTCTTTTTCTAATATAATTAATTAATTACAATAATTTGTTTTCAGAGCAATTTTATGAAAAAAACTCAAAGAAAAGAAAATATAATTTACCCAGTTGGAGATCCTCCATAAGCGGTAGCTACTGAGCTGGCGACTCCACCTTTCCCTGTGGAATAACTATTTGCGATGGCAGTAATGGCACCAGGAATAGACCCGGAGGATCCAGCGCGAGTAGCCGATCTTGGGAAGCTGAAGACCATAGGGAAGAAGTTGTTCAAATGAGGATATCCCTGACGACGCTTGTTGCCTTTGAAAGGTACGAATGGTACAACCGGTTCATCTTCCTCATCCTCATCGTCCTCGTCATCGTCAGCATTAACAGTTACGGGTGTCTTGTGCGTTTTCTTAGTATGATGCACTTTTGGTCGAGCCACGGACGAGGGCACTTCCGTGCTGGCTGCGATCGGCTTTTCCGATTGCGCAATCTCAGTAGTTAGCGGAATCTGCTCTGATTCGCGATGTCCCTACACAGATAATACAGATTTATACATAGTTACTTTATAGGAACATTTAATAAATAATCTGATATTTAAAATAATGCTTTACTTTGAGAATGATTGACTAGTTTAAAAAGAAAACTAATCATCACAATTTTAAGCATATACATATCTGATTTAAAAAAATTATAAACTCACTATGATTTTATTGTATTTTAGAATTTCTGGTTCTGGTCGCTCATTTATTTATTTAAAAGTTATATTTGCATATGTCGAACGCGTGTAAAGCTTACGAAAGTTTCGTACCTGAGGAGTCAAAGGATTTTGATCATGATGATGGTGATGATGATGCGGTTCGTCGTGATGAAGCTGTTCCTCCTCGTGATGCTGCTCCTCCTCATGGCGATGCACCTCGTTTCGATGATGGTGGTATTCGGGTTCCTGCTCCTCTTCGGATGCCGGCGCCGCCTGTGCCTCGGCGCTGGACACTTCCGGTTCCTCGATCGGTTCCGGACCGCCCTTAAGATGTGGCGCGTGCACATCGCCGAAGAAAGCTTCGCCGCTCACGGCATTTCCTTGCGCAAAAACGCCCGTTGCCTGACCATCGTTATTCGTACGACGTATCGGTCTGTAGTAACCAGTGAACATCATTGTTCTGTGCGGAGAACGCACAGCTGTCCTCTTTTCCCTTAGGAACATCACAGGATTATTGTAAGTATCCAATGTGACGGAAACTGTAAACAATACGGATTTTTAATTTAAAGATAAAAAAAATGCCATTATGATTAGTATATTATAATATTTGTCATTAGTTTTCAAAGAGAGAGAGAGAGAGAGAGAGAGAGAGCTTTATTTTTCTAAAAAAAAATCTTGTGTCTTTATCGCGTTTATTAATAGAACTAAGTTAATTATCGTACATTGTTTAGTGCATAATTTTATAGATTTATTACTTTTGTTATATATTTTTTTATTATTATATATCATACATTATAGCATTATTTAAGAAATTTTGAGATCTTTTATAATAATATATCTATAAAAAAATACTGTTCCTAAAAATCTGCAAATAATGCTCTGCAAATTAAAAAGTCATTAATTTCCAATACTTACCAGGTCCAGCTGGAATCGCCTTCGATTCCATCATCGCGATCGTCGACGCAATTGCAATCAGAACAAAGCTAATGCAACTAGCCATCGCTCCGATCTTAATAACGTCCTACGTCCTCAAGTTTTTCGTAACGATCCTTTTTCTATGCGATCACCCTTGATTTCCCTTTCAAAGAGATCCTTTGAGTAATATCGACTTTTTCGTGCTCGAGCGATCTTTAACAGAAAATCCTGATAATTAAGCGGTTCACTTCCACCGAACCTTGCCGATCTACTTGACGCATCAACTTTTTGCACGATGCTGGTAGTCCTCACTGTCGCAATCGCTTTTATACCATGAACCACACGGAACACACAGAACAATGGGATGGGTAGGTACCTTGGGTAGGTACCTCGTACGGGGGTATGAGATGGATCGGATCCATTGGTGGATACACAGGGGGATACGGGATCAAGTAGATACCCCACCAGCTTTCCTCAAGTGGTTGCTTATACGGTCAGGATCACGGTCAAAGCAAACACACGCATCGTCAAACGTTACGTGATCGCCATGACCAATGCGGCACATGAATTAATAGCGATCTGCACCGATGACAATCTGAATTTGCGATATCGGTCCGAAATAGGAACTGACCGTGATGATCTCTGGCTCGAGCTCTTTTACGTAAATGAAGTAGAATTATCGATATTACATGTGTTTTTTAAAACGAAACATCTAGTAATTTTGTACACATGTCTGATGTGTGTAAAAAATATTTCCTTAATAAATTTATTAATATTTACAATAATTTAAATCAAAGGGGAAAAGACTGCAATTTTAAATTTACACTGATTTGTACTATATCTATATTGGATATTTTTTTCTTTTTTTTATTAAAATATTCTGTGTTCTTCAATTCATTCATCGTTTTTTTGATTAATGACAGCGATCAATCAATAATGAAAGAGAACATTGAATAAATCCGTCCAATAAATCTTGAATCAGAAAGAACTAAGTAAGCGCGAAGCTCATGATTGAAACAAAGTGTTTTGTAATGAATTCGCTTGGGAAACGGCGGGAATGTGAATGGGCGATGGTTGATGAATGTTGTGGAGGGCCGATGGCCCCTCACTTTCCCTCTTTTACGATGTGAGTTCTGAGTCACCCTGATCAAGATGCGATAGAAAAATCTAGCGTGCCAGACAAACAGGCTCGCGGGCAGCTTCATGTATTTTCAATCGTTTCTATAAATATACACGATCAGAGAATCGAAGAATTCTGCTCACTCCATGCCATTCACTCACCGCCATTTTCTTCTGGGATAACGACCTCCCTGGGAAAGTTCTCATGCCGTCAATAAAATTAAAAGCTTGATAAATTGCGATTGCAAAAATTATCATTAGTAAATGTAATAAAAAAAAAAAAAAAAAGAAATGCAAATAGGCACAGGGTCATGGGAAAAATTCAAAATTCAAGTCGTAACGACCGCAAAACAAATCTGCATGATTAAACGCGATTGCGAGGAAGTCGGATTAGTACTTTGGAAAGTTATGAGAGGGATGCGCTGTACGTCACAAACATAAAATGTGAATGGAGGGACGTCATGCAAAGAGAACGTCTGCGTAGGGATCAGATAAATTCCACTTCTGCCTTTACAGCTGAAGATGATGGAGCATGGTTGAAGGGATACTTTCTTTCTGTCTCCCTCCCTCTCGTCTTCCCTCCATCTCTCTCTCTCTCTCTCTCTTTCTGACATATCAAGACGGATCCGACTATGAGCGCATTTTACTATTCCAGACACGATAGCCAGGGCCACTACCATTGGACTCTTACGGATTCCTTGATCATCCCTGAAAAATTATCGTTACCTCTGACCAGCCGCGCTCGTTCGGACGAATATGACTAACATAATATTAATATTAAAAAATCACACGTAACATAATATTAATATTAAAAAAATACACGTCGTGCAAGAAGTTAACGTCAAACCTGCATCAATATTCGTAGATAGGTTTGTCATCGTTGCTTAAATTGTTTGAAATCGTTTTCAAAATTATTCTAAGAATAAATAAAATTATTTTGCAATAGAAACTTTTATGATATTCAGTTGTCTCGAGATAGCATCACGTTAATTAAATTATTGTAAATTACGAAATATTTTTTAGTCATATTGATTATAAGTCAGAATTGCTCATTTAATTTATGCTTAATGTAATTATTTAATCTTTATTTTATTGAATCAAATTGAAGTTGGCAAATAACGCGTGGTCCGGCGGTTGTGAAGGAAGAAAAAATTCTTTGGAGGTTCCATATATTTGCATTCCCAAATTAATTCAGCGATTGTAATTCCAGAACTCATAGTAGGAACGCATCGTGATCTACGTATATCAAGAGAATAGCGACGTCGCGAATGTGCTGCGGAGATTGATTTCGATGCTCTCCAAGAAGAGGAAGAGAATGCGGTGGCGCATAAAAAATATTCCGGGCGGGATGATGTACGAATTTTGCGATACCAACCGCGATACGCCTGCCTTTTGTCAGACTCGCTACTTTTTGATCCACCTGGTCACGCTCGGAAATACGATATGCGTGACTTGGAAAGCAGTGCGATTCGGAGTTGATTCATGAAATAACGCGGATTCGTGGTATGTATATAACGTCTACGTCTACCGGAATACGAGCGCGATCGATAAACTGATTTAACGGATGTGACAACAAATGATTATTCTAATCTGTGTCTACTCGACAATCCATGACCCCACTAAAGTAAATCACAAGAGCTTTAGCAAGTGTATAGAAATTTATTTGCGATTAATTGTTGCCGATAAATTTTTAAATTAAGTATTTTTATCGTATCTGAATGGATTAATATATAATAAATAAATTGTATAACGTTAGTGCAAAGATTCTTCCTGAGAAAATTTGCATTTCAAAAAGTTAAAAATAATTAATGCTTCTTTTCTCAAATTAAGTAAAAATGTACAAAATAAATCATTGATACGCCGCATTTAAAGTGGCAAACGATTGGATGAGAGACAATATAGGACGAGTTCAATAACCGAATAGTGTGTCTGAGATGTGTGTCCGATTTGCGAATGAAACATTTTTATAATGCGGAAAGCAGGTGCGTCTAGTACCGTTGCATTACAATTATTCTTCACAAGATATATCGGGCATGTATTGTACGTAAAAGATACAGAATTAATTATTATATATATATATATATAAAATATATATATATATATATATGTGTATATAAAAAAATATATAAAATTTAATATTTTTATATTACAATCAATCAGTCTTCTAAAATCATAGCGACATATTTTTTATCATACTTTTATCACAATTTTTTTCTTTGCTAATACAAGTTGAGATTTTTATATTACTTTTACAAATAATTTTTATACTTACTTAATTATTCCGATTTGAAGTAAATATAATGCAAGATTAGATTACTTAAATATAGTTTGAGTTAGTTTACCTACAATATTATATTTCTCCACAATTATATTGGAAAAAAATTACAATACTTTTTGCGCCGAGTTTTGTGAATTATCTTATAATACGTTGACAGAGAAATTCATATCTCGTATACGAAAGCGGCAGGGTCCCCCTTTGGGTCGCGGAATTAAAAACAGAGATCCCAGAATTCCCAGGATTTCAGCGGTACACCTGACTCCCGCTTTTGCGAATGTCCACGCGGGTTTGCCGACGGAATCTCATTTGGTGCCATCGCGCAGGCTGAATTAAGATTAGCCGATGTCGAATTACACGTGCTGTGCAACAGCATACGCCGATCGGCGCTCACGCGCGCGACAAGCCGTCGAAAGACGTGAGACATACAGATCGTACTACTTTGGTAGCCTCGCCTAACTCGAAATCTTGTCGAGCGATCGACTGGCAAGTGATGCTGATTAATTCGTGACGCATGTTAAATCGACGTGTGAATTTGTCGCTCATTGTTCGTGCATCGATTCCAACGAAAAAGGATTAAGTCATATGCATTCGTTACCGAAAAGGTTCCCTTGAAATGAATATTTTCAATTTCACGTATCAATATTTTTATTCTATTTTTAATTTTACACACACACACACACATATATATATATATATATATATATATATATATATATATGTTTATTTCTTTTACACGTATTTTAAAATCTCTAAAAAGTCTTTAAATGATATATCTTTTCGGAATAATTGAAACGTCCACACAAGGCAAAATTTTCATTATTATACACATTATTATACACTGGAGATTTTTACCTCAACTTCCACGAAACAGTTCGGTGTAGCGATATCCACGATCTTATTTGAAAACGAATCACGAAGAGTAGTCCGGTAAATCCGGTAAGTACGGTGGGTTGAATGACCGTGTAATATCTCGCCTATGGATTGCGTTCATTTTGCAAATTTTCCAAATAAAACGAGGATTTGTGCTATATTGAATCGTAATATACTACGTGTTGCCTGAAACGCATAGTATCCTGTTCAATGGCGTAGCTAAGATGAAAAATTCTGTCGTTAGAATTCTGAAAATTTGAGAAAATGTACAACAAAAATGTCATAGTCAAAATTATTCAAAATCTTTTGATTAATTACTTAAATGTCTCTTTGAATAATATTAGTGAGAGCTTTTAGGTAATTTTAATAAAAGTGAAATATTATCATATTTAAATTTTTAACAATTAGATAAAAAATTATTATTATTATTAAAACAAAATTATTCTTTAAATAATACAGATATAAATATAGATATAAATATGATTATTTTTAAGATTTTTCTTTAAGTTTTCAGCATAGAATTCGGTAAAGCAGAAATAAAACAACGTTTCACCTTTGTAATTAATCTAATCTTCTAGCTGCACCATTGACGTCAATAATCAGCAGTCAGCAAATTGACGGTGAAGAAGCGCGTTTAGGATTTAGTGTCCAGCTTTTCCAAGGAAGACATAAAAATAGTTGCAGGTGCACTGTCAGCCGACATAAACGCCCGCGCATATACGCAAGCGATCTACATGTACAAACACACACATACACACACACACACACACACACACGCGCGCGCGCGCGCGCGCGCGCGCGCGTACAACTGGGAACTACGAATTTTGCATCACGATAGAGGTTTGATGCAAATGAGAGATCGGGTCGAAGACGAAACACCTGCACCGGTCCATTCTCCTTGCTAGCCGAGAAAATTGATCAGCTGTATTTGTATTCACATCGTGGGATGGCTACTTCCGGCCTGAATCAACGCGTGAGATTAAGATCACTTCGACCTTAACATAAGAATTATACATAACGCAATCTGACAATCTCTTCACGTGTATCGACTGATATTGATCTTCCAAATTATTAAGTATACACATAAAACAATACGTAATGCTAATCGAATTTTAATATTAGGAATGCGAAATTTTCCTGCTTGCTATGTACAAAGTGAACGATCGGCTATTTGCAATATTACAGCTGGTCATAAATCAAATTCAAGAATCTTCCGGCATCCAATTTCAAAGAAAAATTGCAACTCTTCTGTATACCGGAGATAGTGGGTGCGTAATATATAATTTCGTTTGATAGAGACAGAAAATTTGCATACGACTATTCATGTTTCAGCATCATTACTGGTCATGCTTATTAAAGGTAATGTGAAGAGTATGACTAATAGAAACATTGCTATGTATGCGTTCGCGAAGAATTTATGTGATAAGTAATTATTATGAAACATATGACTTTAAGGAAAACATCAAAAATTCATAAAATTGAAAAAAAAATATGAATATAAAAATCTGTTAGCTGAATCTGTTGAGGATCTATATGTAAAATAACAAATGTAGTAAATTTCGAATCAGGTCTTTATATCTTTATTACTTAATTATTAAAAATTAAATTAAAAATCAAAAGTTAAAATTAAAAATTTAATTATTAAATATTAAGTATGATCTAGCGATTTTATTATTAATTTCAACCAGTTAACGAAATGATATTACGCTATCAAACGAGCTGTTTTGACATGGCTCGTTTTAGACACGCGTGTCACGTGCCATGAGTGCATCGCGTGGCATGGTGCATCGACATGATGCATCGTGATCGCTGTATGACGATCGTGCTAGCGGCTCTCTTTTGAGTGTGAGCTACCATATTTCAGCCAACTGATCTTTTTTCTCAGCTTGCATACGAACGCGGAATGCTTGACAATCGGCCGACCGATGATCGCATTGTGAGACCGTGACGTATTTCCGTCAGTAACGATGTGCTCGCGAAGAAACTGTATTCAGATTACATTTGTCACTGTCTCGCGAAAATTTACCATATTATTTTTCTTAAGCTTCAAACAAAGAAGTGATTTTGTTAACGAAATGTGCGTGCGAATGTGTGAACATGTGTTAAATTTAAAGTTATATCTATAATCAAGAATTTTAATAAAAAAAAGGAATAGTAGTAGTATGATAATAAATCTCGATAACTTATTAAATTATTAAATTAGTTATTATCAAATTAAAAGAAATCCTGATTTTAAATATTAATTGTTATGCGAAGATAAAGATATTAAATATTATTTAGATTTAAGTTAATTGCGTCGTGGTTTGTATAAAATATGGATTTGCAAAAAGTCAAAGAAAAAAAATAATATTTTCAGCGCACAGTGAGAAAGCTGGGAATGTTATGACACAGAAAAATTTTATTATCCTTTTTGTTACATGAACCGTGGCCTAAAAGTTCATCGAAAGTAGTGTGATCACAGATGAGGGTATGGAGGGTCGTGCGGTTGTCCTCGGAGTGTAAAATTTTCACCGTTTCCGAGATTTCAGCAAGTATCCCGCGACGCCCAGATCCAGATACCTAAAATAAGTTTGTCTAAGTCCACGTGCATTTTTACATTATAAATTTAATATTGATAATTGATATTACACTCTTGTAATACTTCATAATTGATATTGCTAAGTGCAATTTTAAAACAAATTTTCGATTTCATTTTAAATTCCAAATTAATACTAATTAATATACTGTTTAATACTAATTAATACTAATTAATATTTTCTCTAGTTATATTATCGAACGAGTATCGGTCAAAGAATCAATCGCGTGCTCAAAGATTTTACTTTGCGGTTTGGCTATCGGTAAACAGCAACTGAGTGAATACATCGTGATTGAATATTTAGTAAAACATAGCAAAATATTATCAGCAGCTGGTATCAATAAGGATTTCTTAATTTTTCTTTTTAAATTATGCGCCTATGAACACTTAACAAATTTATACGGTGATGTGACTATTTTAGCGCTTTGACGTTTTAACAGATTATTTAATTCACATCTGATCCTGTTAAATAATTCAACAAACAAGGAAAATAGTTCTTTATCAATTACCTCCTTCGCGTTGTAACAATGCCACGTTTCTCTCTTTTTTCTGGCGTTATACGGCTTCCATCGGCGGAAACGAGTCTGGACGCAATTGCAGTCGGTCTTTCCGGTGGACCAGTAGTTGCTGACGGCACATTTGATAATAAACTTTTACCTTGACGATTTTCTTTTGATTTTCTTCTAACATTTAAATCCGACGATACGACAATTTCATCAAACGTCTGGCCGAAAAATGCTGCGCAATGAAAAAAATTAAGTAAATTATTTAATAATTATTTAAAAAAATACAAATTAAATTTCTATTTTGTACAAAATTTTTAAATAAATATTCTTTTTAAAATACATAATCAAATAATGTAGATGTAAAATATATATATATATATATATATATATATATATTATTTACTTTTTATTATTTTACTTACGTTTTTCATTAGATGCCGTCTCTTGAGCATTGATTATAATACAGACGGAACTGAATATTAAAAGGGCCAAGATTTTTATCATTTTGCAACGGAAATTTTAATATGTCCAAAAACCGAAATTTTTGTTATCCTGTAAAATAAATTTACAAAAATAACACGTGAGAAATAGATACGAAACTGTCGCTAAAATTTTCTACTATACCGCTACTAATTTTTTCGATCATACAAAAAATTATGCTAACAAATTATTATTATTATTATTGAGTCACGCCTTCGTAGTCAGGATCTCTCAACATCCGTTAGCTTCAGGTAGAATTGTTAAAAGGCCTTCGACGATTTCGTAATCACCAATCGTAAGAACGTGAGTTCGAAGAATAACTAATTGAATCACTTTCTAGAGCAGTGAGCTTACGGCAGAAGCTTACGTAAAAGCAGCGGATTGTGAAACTCAATGATTGACGTTATCGCAATGAGACGATATCAATGCTATAATATATGTAAATATTATATGGATTATAATTAAATATGATTAGAAATTAGTATTTTTTGAAGAGCGCTCGTTGTGCGTTGTATGTGTGTATGTGTGTGTGTATAATAATAATAATAAAAAGCAATTAAAAAATATTGTTAAAAAGAATCTAGATAAGATTTATTTAAAATAATTTAAATAGTTTAAATAAATCAGTGTAGTAATTCGTGTAGAATTGATTAACTTTCTCTCAAACTTTTCTCTTAAAAATAAAAATCAAAGTCTCTTTTATGACTAATGACTACTCGTGCTAATTTCTTTTTCGAGTTAATTAGCATTTTATTTTAGCACGTCGTTGAAAAGAAAAAAAAGTTAAAAAAAACATACGACTTGTCGTATCCTTTTTAAAAAATAAATCGCACCGAGTTCAACACTACGATTAACTTTTATCACTTCTATCGTCGCGCGACATCCTCGCCTGCGACCTTGCGCTCGAGATGACGGAACGGGCCTTTTTATGGATCAGCTGAGTCTCACTTACTTGTACCATGGACTCCGGACTTAACACTTAATACTTAGCAGTATGTATCTCGACTTACCGGCGATAAGTTGAGGATACTTTCCGAGTCGACAACCGCACGAGAAATGCGAGCACAATGACGCGGGAGCCTTCAAGAAAGCATCGCGGATTTGCTATAGTACGTGGAGAACAGGAACAGGCCCATGGAGTATCACGGGAGGAGGTGCTTTAAAGACGTCATGTACTGTAGTCTGTTGCACTGGCCGGACCACTTTCTATTTCATTTTTTCCTCTCGATTACACCCTCTCTCCTTGTCCCTCTCATCCGATCTCTCCGTCTGTTTATCTGGACGACTCCCGTACTCTGTCTCTCTCTCTTTCTCTCTCTCCCTCTCTCTCTCTCTCTCTCTTTACTCAGACGGAGGGACTGGTTTACCGGCTGGCAGGGCCGTAGGTGTCCAGGAGCGGCTAAACAATGGTTAACGACAAGACTGACCTTTAACGAGCCTCTTTGACACATCTCGGGTGTCGTGGATGTCACTTCTTCAGGGTGGACGTCGCTATGAGATGTAGAAATGCCAATCTCAAGCGACGATTGGCCAATGATCTTTCGAGAAGAGAATTTTTCTCTTACATAAACCAAAGGAATGTAAGTTCCTTGACTTTGGTATAGATCTTATCTAAATAATAATATAGAGTTAATATTCCGAATAGTATTTTTCGAAAGAAGAGTCGGAGACTTAGGTTTCTTTTGTGACCTTAGATGATTTTTGAGGCGCAAAATATAACACGCTTAATGATCCTCTGGTAGTTTAAAAAATAACAGGGTATCTCGGCCCAATAAGCTGCGGTTAATATCACAGCGGACCTTTAACAAGCGAGCGTAATTTCTCGAATGTTCTTCAGTTCTCTTCTCCGGCCGTCATGCATGAATATTTTCGTGTTTATTATTATAAAGAACTATAAAAAAGCAAGCGAGAATTAATTAATACGAGTATAATTTTAATTTTAATTTTAATTAATTTTCTATAATAAGAACGCAATTATTTAACTCTTTCTCTAAAACTATTTTAATCATCGTTTTATGCAAATCGTTCCAAGAGGAGAGATTTACAAGGAAATTTTAAATGAATACGTCGAATAAATATCAGATAATCTCTATTTTTTTTTTCTACAAGTTTCTTTATTTATTAATTTTTTAAAAATAGCGCAAAAATTACTAGACATTTATTACTAATGGAGATCACTAGAAAACTTGCAAAACTGGTCCATCGGTATCCTTCGCTAAATAACAAATAAATAAACTGTATTTCTCGCCGAAGATTCACGACGTTCTTCAGCGAGCGCATCCTCCTATGGAGGAGGGCGTCCTCGAGGGCGCCGCTCTCCTCCTGGCAGCGCGAGGAGAGGAGAGTGAGGAGAGTATCTCGAAACGGAGGATGCTGCGCCGGCGAAGAAGATTGCGTGTGCGGTTCGTCCGGTCATTGCACGAGGCTTTTCGGATCTCGATTTCAGGGGGCCCTCGCTCTTTACAAGGCCCTCCTCCCTTCGGCTTCCTATCTCTTTGTGCCGTTTATCCAACGACCCTCCGTCTCGCGGCGTTTCCTCCCTACTTCATCGCTCTTCGTGATTCCTCTGTCCTCGCTCCTCTCCTGCCAGATTTCGCCTCCGTCTCGCTTGTTCGTGCGCAAATCGCGGCGCTACGTCGCGATATTTTTCTCGTTTTTATTTTGGGGAACATCTGGTGGCTGGCATGCGGACAAAGGGAACTTGCTCGCTCAGGAAATCCTCTCGCAGGAGGCAAGAGGGTGGCTCGCGCACGCGGTTAGGCTTATTTACTTGCTCTTAGCGAGTGACGTAGAATGTTTGTAAACAATGGACCCACAATGATGGCGGAGAGACGATGATGGTGGAAATAAATTAGGGGTGATTTTCGGGGCCGCGCAGCTTCTGCGGATCTGCAAAGAATAAGAAACCTTGAACATTCAGGATACATTCAGGATTATGTCTGACTTCGTTGACATTATTATTAAGCTAGCTGCGCAAATAAATTTTGTATAATATATTTAGTAAAAGATGCTTGTTTAAAAATAGTAAAAGATAGAAAATGAGAGAAAATGGTTTTGGGTAAAGTTTAAATATTTTTATAGCTCTGGATTTTTTTAAATGATAAGATTAGTAAGTAAAGGTACTTGTATTTTTTTTGAAAGATAAACTACGTCGAGTGTAAGAAACAAATTTTATTTTTAACATGTCAAATTGGCTGAGTCATTCTTAATGAAAAGAAGTAAGTCTCGGGCAATTTCCTAATTATATTTAACGATTGTGTAGCGAAGGTTGCGTCAACACAGGATTACATATAATTTAAAATCCCATTATGGAAACAACTACGATATCACTGCCTTCCGATTACAGCGTAGCGTAATAAAACGTTTACGGAGTTATGCAAAAAAAAATGTTGAAGATACAGGACTGCAGGCGTAAATTAAAAAATTCAAAAATAATGTTAACTGTTCGAAGTACACGAAATTGATTTAAAAAATCATCTTTTGAGGAACAGGTTTTGAATCAAAATATCTCTAATACATAGCTCAAAGTCATAAAATGCATCGTTATGCTTTAAAATTGATATCAATCTTGTCATGCTTATATTCCATGTTAGCAGTCGGAAACGATCCGATTTAAACTCGCTCGGTCGAGTCCCAAGCTCTCTGACTCCCTTCGAACGAACAATAGCCATTTACTGCATGTCCAAGCGTCGCAAGTGTGTGCATAATCGACACTCCGATTCACGTGTAGGTGCATCTCTCGGGAGACTAAAACGGACCGGTTCGTCGCGCCGAGAGAGAGGAGCGTCGTACCTAAACTACGGGCCCCAAAACAACAATATGGCGTCTGGCCGTCCCTTTAAAACGAGTTAATCCGTCTGTCTGGCCGTCTGCCGATCGCCTGAGAACCAAGAAGATTCATTTCCCCTTTGTTCATTCTTTTTCACACGTACCCCGAAAGAGCCATGTACCTCAATGGCACACAATACGCGAACGCCGCGCCAGCTCATATTCGCGGGGCCTTTCCGGGCAGGTCCCTCACACACACACACACACACACACACACACACACACACACACACACACACACACACACACACACACACACACACACACACACACACTTGCGCGCCTGTAATCGTCGCTCTTGTGCGCACACGAGCGCACACTCCGGCGAAAGTGAAATACACCCGTATTTCCCCGACAAAGATTGTTGCGTCTTCGGGGCCCGCCGCGCCGGACAGATGTTTCGAGCCCGTTTCATCCGCGTTGGGTCAGCGCGGGGTGTCGGGAGCACAACGAGATCGCGGTAATATAATGCGAATCGCGGATTCCCGAACCCGACCTCCGGGCCCCCTGAGTTCGTTGACCTATGCCCGAGACGAGTCCGGCGCAATTTCGTGGGCGGCACATTTATGCTGCAGCGCAACATCCTTGGGCTTTAACCCTTCTCAGCACGCGAAAGATGGAATACTCCTCGGTATATACAATTCAAACGTAAATATGATTATTTTTTTTAATATCGCGTAAAATATAATCTTTGGATTCAGCAATGATGTTTATAATTAAACAGCCCAATCTTAAAGTATTTTCACAAAGTATCTTCTCTTTTTAAAATGAAGACTTTTTTACGATAATCTTTAACGATAATATGATTAAAATACGAATTAATTAATTGACCGTAAATATAAAGATTGATGTAATTTTACAAATGCAAAGGGAGAATCTGAATGATCAGTTCTGTTTATTTAACATCTTTTTATACATTATTCTGTTTCTAATAATGTGCAGGATATTTATCAGCGTTGTATGTCCTCAATTAGTTTTAAATTAATATTTAAGTAAATAGACATGGCGATAATTATAATTAATTAAAATAGGATTTGTGATTCAACATGCTTACCCTTTCACGGATTCAAAATCCGTCCTGTCCCGACGAGGACTGAGCAGCGCTAAACGAGGCTGTGAAAGGCCCGATGCTGAAACTCGCGCTCTGTGCATTGGCCTGGCTGTGTCCTCCGCCATAAGGACCACCTCCACCTATAGATCCTGCCGATGCTGAGGCAAAAGACGCTCCTTGACCGGAATGATGGCCGCCGTAGTCCGGCTGCCATCTGCGTAAATCAGAAAGTAGAATGCAAACGATTACTTCTCTTGCAAATCCCATTTACCAACATTTGTAAAAGACACTATAAGACCTTTTTTAATTTTTCATATTTGAGTTGCCACGTTTACATGTAAATGTGAAGATTACTATTCTGAGCGTCAATTATGTAAAATAATATACTATACGTACCCTCCGCCACAGCCATAACCGCGGCATCCGTGTCCTCCGACAAAACCATGCAGCCTATGGTGTTGGAACGGTTTATGGTGATAATATTTTCGCTTATTTCCGTAATGATAATTGCGTGCATCATCATTGTAATCATAATAGTCACTACCGCCCAACAAACCGCCCAACAAACCGAATTGTGGCGATCTTTGTTCTCTCGTAGCCTCTAGAATAGTAGACATTTAAATATATAGATATTTGTTCCGTGTTAAAATTTAACATTTATATATTGACATTTATGTATTTGAGTTAAATTTTTAGTAATAACACAACTTTCTTTAAAAAAAATTAAAAAGTATATCTTATCGGTATAGATGTTATACACGATTAAAATAAATGAACTTTTAATCTATAAATAAATAAATTTTACATTATTTTGTAAATAAAATAGCACTTTAAATGATGTTTTTTTTCTAAATACGCTTATTACACAAAGTTTTAATCTATAAAATTTTGATTACTGACCAGTTTCAGTGGTATTATTCACAGTCAAAGCAATGGGATCCAGTACATCAGAATTTGCCACTTCTGTCGGTTTACCGAACGATTCTTTCAGAAAAATCGCGCCAAGCGCCGTCATTAAAAGTACAAATCTTCTCATCATGGAACGGAAACGTCACTGTTACTTGTAAGTCGTCTAAAAAACGATTCAAAGCTGGTTTCTCTTTTCATATGCTTTTATAGGAAACCCCTTCACCATCGAAATTCAAGGAAATTGCTCATAATTTCACAACGTAACTTTGAATGCTGAGAGACGGTCATTGGTCTTCGTAAAGTGGACGACCTTCCGCTCCAGGGACGACCGGAAGTAGGCCGAAGACTCACATGAGTATAAATGGAATCCTCATACGATAGCTATTGACGCAAGTTTATCTTCGACCATACGTTCGAAAATATTGCACGTTCACTTAA